GAGTTTTGTCGGAAGGATCTTTCTATCATAATCAGCTCGCCATTGACGAGAATGTACTCCACTCCGTCTAGGAATGCAACTCCTAGTTGTTTGATAGCACTACCAGATATAGAACCAGGGCCGGGAACTGTAGAGCTCGACGACAGCGTATCAGTTTCTGAGATGATACTGGATAGCGGCATTGTGGAGGAAGGTATGTAGGCAGAGTGAGAGTCGAACGGACTTTTACCTTGACAGGTTTCCTCTTTTGGTTTTTCTCCTCTACCTCAATTCAAACCGCACCAGCTTGCATTACTGGAACGTTGTCAATGCAATGCTCATCATGATTGACCACTGGTCCCCCAATAGGGATAATCAAATACCCATGAGAACAGCCACATAGGCACACCAGTGCTCATTGGAGAATTACATAACATCAAGAACACTCGACTCTACAACGGAATTAAACCCAAAACAACCTCAAAAACTGTGAACACTAATGAGTCATAAGATACAACTGATCGTGGCCAGAGGCCTCTGCGCCGTGGGTTGAAACAGCACATCCAAGATACAGCTCGAAAGTGCGATGATACCGAATAGTTTTGTGTTGCTGTCGGGTCAATATCAGAGCGATACGAGGTAAGAACTAACTATCTTACCGGTACTACAAACAAGAGCCATAACCGGATTGAATTTACCGGCAGATTAGACAACCCTCGCGGGAACGAACTTTGCGCCGTCGACGTTTGAGATCCGAGCTTGAAATATATGTTTTATCCGGACATTCCTGGAGTTGCGAAGATGAGCAGTGAGTGAGATGAGATGAGCTCGCAACCCATTTCACTCCCCTCTCAACAGCATTGACCACCCCGTTCCTTGACATCCCTGATAGTAAATATACCAATTACGATCTCACAAGTGGTTGACTGCATCAGTAGTCGCAAGGCAATTACGGTTAGATACCGTCAAGTTATTTTTCCATGGTCGTGCTGTGAGCTGTTCCATCATGATCATTCGACTGCGTGGGTCCGCAGTATACAGGCAATGCAGTTGAGACCTAAATAAGTAATGCATCATTCATGCTTGTTACCCTCGAGCCCTCCAACACCAGGGAATGAGTCTGTAGACGCCGATAGGAGGGTAAGGCTACGCCTGACGAGCTGTTTTAGTAGACAGGCACTTGTTGGAATATTTGTCAATTGAGGACCTCTGTACCCCCATGAGTGTGCCGTGAGTCACCCGTCTCGATTCGTTTACGGAGATCACTGCGAGTGTGTTACCCAGCACTAGATCTACCGGAGACATTGAAATGACGACGCACTTACAAAGATTCTGTGTGGCCCGGTGGGAAGGGAATCGGGAATCAGCTCCATTTCGAAAATCAAGCATAACGAGTCAACCGCATACCTTCGATGTTCCCTTCATGTGTTCAACGGTGAAGTGGCTTTTGTCCAATCCTTTTTGAATAATAATCATATACAAAGCTTAACGCGCCTGAAGTATTCATATGCTCACCAGGTAGAGCGACCTCCCAGTCCCCCATTGAGCTTCGAATCAAGACAGCCATCGTAAAGTGAAATCAGCGATTAAGGGAATGACTTGGAACTCAGCTCAAGTGAACGAAGTTCACCTTTGTTGAATTCACTATGAATATATAGACACGTGAGCGTGAAAGCCCGGTTCTAGGGCAACTAGCGAGCGGCATACGGTTGGTCAGTCAACTTCGCGTATATCGACGATATTCCAAGAAAGGGAGGGCTCCAAACGCTCAAACTGGAGAATCTCGGACTTTTTTTCGTACATCGAATGCTCGTTGTGGGTCACCATTCCACGTTGGTGATGGTGAAACTAGTGGCAGAAGTTATCCGCATGGTTGAGAGTCCGACCTCCACAGCACTACCTCGCACGCTTAACGATGATGTTCATGTGAGATCCTCCCCCTTAATCGGCGGGTTTTTCGAATATGAACAAAAGTTGTATCAAAGTCACAAGGCAAAAACAAGTAAACCGAACGCGCTCCAATGTTGAAATAGCTCACCTAATTACTCTTGGCATGACCCTCCAGACTACCATCTAGGCAGTATTCCTACCCCGGCGTACCGCCGCACAAATGTGTCTCGTACTTAGGATGTTGGAGGGCTAGATAATGAGTGTAGGCGGGTCAGGAAGGCGGACTCACAGGGTTGGGATCTACCGCGGACTTCGTGTGCCGTGAGCTCGTCCCTGCACTGGGGGTACTGTCCCGGGGTCGAAGGTGTAGATATGTACACTAGGATATGCCCCGGACCCGGCGTTCAGCACGTGGACCCTGCCGTGTAATACACTCCTCCTCCTCCTCCTCCTCCTCCTCCTCGCCTAAATAAACCCTTACAAAGGCCTGCGATGTTGATGGTCTCAGAAACAAAGTAGAGATCAGGGTCGTTCTCCTTCCTTTTGCTACGTATATTCTCGTAACCACCATGGAACTGGCTTTCTGATGCCCCGAAGCGAAGATCTAGCGAAAAGTGCCATTTCGATATTATCCCGATACCGACTCAATCGCACCCAGAGCCTGCGCTCTTTGTGCATTGCAGATTCTGGGCGATGATGGTGATGGTGATGACGATGGTGTGAGGCAATGTGATCGTTACTTATATGACCACGACTGAGGCTAGGATCTGATCCCAAACCTGCTCGCCGACTAAACCCGACATGTAGACCTTCCCACGCTGACAGCTAATCGTCAAACGTCTTGTATCGCCTGAACTCCTTTCACAGTCAGTGGTGCTTAGTGCAATTCATTAGTTTATCCATAGGTGAGGGAATCTTCCCTGCTTTAGTATCCTCACACATCCAACTGGTTACGACCATTAACATATCTTGATGTATACAATTCCAAGGGCATTCGGTAGTTGGCCAGATGTCTTCAGTGTCCTCGTACAAAAACGTCTCGCAGAGGAACCTGAAGGGTCCGAGAAAACAACGTGCGGGAGCAGAGGGAGCTGGTGGAGAGGGGAGAGAAACGAGCAGATTTCCGCAGCATCTCGAGCTTCGATATCAATCGGATTGCATCGCCAACGAAATACTCGTCCTGATCAATCAATACACAGGACCCGACGAAAGCAATCATGTATGGCTGGCTGGCGAAAGTGTTATTTGGAGGATAGCGATGATCAGGATCCCACAGCTTCCGCACTCCTTATTCCAAATTTTCACTGGCCTCTAAAAGTCCGCCCGCGCAAGCCATGTCGCGGCGAGATCGCTGAAGACACATGGCAGGATCGGCGTTTAAGACGGATGCTTCACCCTTTTGGCACATCACGCGTGTGGAGAAACGGTACTAGCCTCAGCCGAGTGTGATATGAACTCAAATCCCATGAAAGACTTCGTATAGGGACCTTCAGTTATTCGACCTCACGCCGTGGTCTTCCCACCAGGCTCCTGTATAGTACGCTCAACATTACCAACAATGCTCCCGGTTGCTCAAGATATACTGGATTGGATGAAGGCTGGTTCATTAGAACTCTCATCCAAGATTATCCAATAAAATCTGCATGTAAGCCCTAGTTACAGCAGGTGCATAGCAGTGACCACAAACCGTCAGGGGCTCGGAAAGGCATTTCGTGATAGATGCTGATTCATGGCTCGGACAGCAGGCCGGTCATTGGCAGCTCAGTTCAAGCTTGACACCCGCATCTTCTTTCGATCCGACCGAAAAATCTCGAAGAGAAAACGTCGCGACCGTACTCCCTGGAGGGAGAAGGTTCTGAAGGCATTGCGTGCGATGCACCGGACAATATTGGTGTAGAACCTGAGAAGATGATCAGTATCAACTCAATATAAACATCGCCGGTTTGGTAGCCAATGATTTCATCGACCTTGTACAACGTTTCTGGATCCTATCCAATGATTTCTAGCACAGCCTCACAATGAACAAGAAGACACCAAGAGAAAAGTGACGTTGATACGTATCTTGTTTTGTCGGCATATCCCAGTCTAAGTCACCCTACCTGAGCGAAGCTGTGTGTCTAGATCAATCGCATGCCCTTGTTAAAATGTTAGAATTAGCAAAGCAAGTGCCCACATCCTCTCCACGAAAACGGAAACTATTTCAATCAATCCGTATGGCACATGACTATCCCATAAATCGAGAAAAAATAAATGGCGGGGTTTCCCAAAAGTGGGGGTGACCTGTGACATACGAACTGATTGAAATAGGTCAGTACGAAGTTCGAACTTCATAACCCGAGACCTGAAGGTAGATAATTCAGCATCCACGGTCCTGCGATCAGGGCAATGTTACCGACTCTCACACCGGGGGCACCCACCGTGTGACTAAGCCTTGTGAGTACTTTGTGAGTGGGTCGTGAAAGGGAAGGCTGCCTTTGTTGTTGACCCATTTCTTTGTTACAACCCACTCACAGCCAACTCACACGGTCAACTTGGAAAGCTCAGTGGAATGTGCAGTAGCGGGTCGGGAGAAGGGGCAAGAGAGCAACAGACATCTACAGCATTGATGTTACAGGTAATTCTGATTGACATAAAGAAGGTGTACTGTTGACATCACGAATTGCAATGCAACCTTGTGAGTGGATCACGCAATATCAAACCTAATTTGTTTGAGAGCTGTAGATGGCCACAAGGATCGAATGAAAGGGGCGAAACACAAAGAACATCAACTACGCGTTCGTGGGGACCGTGGCAGCACTGATTCTGATTTCAATATCAAGGCGGCGAGAATACCGATTGTTTCTGCCCATGCCTCACGTCGCAGGTAAGTATGAACGGGAGGCGCGATCTAGCCGATACCAGAGATGAGAGTTATTGTTGAAATATGTAACGCCAGATGTGCTTGAGTGGCGTTGCCAATGTTACATTCCTTCGAGATTTTGTACTTCAAAGAGCCTGGTCATGGTAGAGGTATCTGCAAAACGCCGGTCAGATAATTGAATATAATTCTCACCGTGGGTCGATCTTTGTTTGCCGAGCTCCGAAAAAATCCGATTGTGGTCCTAGGCTGATGCTCCTTACGAAGAGCCATGTCCCTCTTAGCTCAGTGGTAGAGCGCTTGACTAGTATTTGGTGAATTACTCCTATATCATGAAGAGATCAGTAGTTCCAGTCGGGTAGAGGAAGTGGAGGCGCAAAACGAATACAATATTTTTGTGCTATGAAGTGGCAAAATCGAGCTTGTTATATCTGAAAAAATTCACTAATCTGAGAGATAAGGGTCGATGTATAACGGTGGAACTTTTACTTGGCTTTATCCGTTCTGAATCTTGCAAGTCGCGATTTTTGAGCATAGTTTGGTTCTACAGCACCATCAACATCAAGAGACCCAGGGGTTTCCCATCAAGTGGAGAGGTAGAGGCAATGTAGTGGATACGTACAAATAATCGTTTGCAGACGGGCGCGCTTGCTGCCCCGGACTATATCCGACTAAATCCAAGGTAGGCTTCCCGAGTGATAGTATCGAGATCGATTCTGGGACCGCTCGCTTCCTCAGTCCATCAAGGCGGCTAGATAGTACATGGACTACAGTTCCCATACATAATTCCCCCTTTTCTGCAGAATTGCTCTTGACCTTTGAATGGGTATTGATCCTCAGGAGATCAGGGCAAACTCAGAAAATTGCGATGTCTATGCAAGTTGTAATGGAACGGACCTAGGATCGACCGTAATATCAGGCGCACGTTAAGACTCCTAGTCAAATTCCAGAATGATTAACATAATCAGAGAGAATGAAACTCCCGGACGTCATATCTCGACGTGTAGCTCACTGTCCCTCCAAGTCAATCCCTACGTAGCAAAGACTGTGATTGGGCTTCTGAGTAGGGTGCTCGTGGTCATCACTACCTGTAAAGGGTGGTCAATTGATACCCAGAGTCGGTGGAGGCACTCGCCGTGATATCCTCTGGAGTAGTAGTGGTGGAAGCTGACCTCGTATGTCATAACAGGAACAGTAGCCGGACCATGATCATCCGTGCTCGTGCGCAGTAGCCAGCGAAGGCAAGGACCAGCAGAGGACGCGTTGGTTGCAGTGTTTGCACCTACGTCTGTTTTGTACTTTATCAATCAGAGACCTTTGTTTTTGGCCTGTGGATCCTTCAACTTGAGAAGAACGAGCTTCTTTGACTTTCAGAGGCAGACTCCCCGCTATTCTAAAGGATACAGTATCCAGCGACTGAAGCCATTATTGGAGAGTTTGCGCACGAGCCAACAGGACCATTAATGGTAACTTTTTCTTGCGCACAGCCATCGGCCCCACAGTGGTTTTTTGCTGGTTGTGCCCGCACCCCTCCCTTTCGTTGCCCGTATTTCTTCATCTTCAAGCGCATGGAGAGTGGAAAAATTGAGATCTGAATATATATTGGACCTACGAAGTATATGGAAGCTTCATATGAGCACATTTTGTAGCATGGGGTGAACTCAAGCAAATGACATCAATGGCTCAGCGCAACGAAAACGTGCGATTGATGGCTCTGATGGCTCGTGCGCAAACTCTCTGTTAACACGCACGCTGAATCTTCCGATCCTACATGTATTATGTCAATCCGTGAATCAGATACCAGGATAGACCATGTTCTCTCCCATTCAATTAGCCCCTGACCTTGAATAATGACGAAGGCGAAGGAAAACGGCTGAGTAGGAATCTTCGCTTCACTGCTATAGCCTGGCCAGTCTTGAAGCCAGTGAAGAAAAATCGTACAGCGAGCACATTATTGAAAATTTGGCGAAGAATGCGAAGGAAGAGATTAAACGAGCCTTTGCGTTGCAAGGACAAGTTCACATATCAATAACCAAAAGACAGCCAAATACTCGGAGTGTATCTACGCAAGGCTCGAAGATTCCCTGTGACTGCAAGTCAATGGGCACGGTTGTGGGATCAAGCGAATGGTCAGTAAGAATCAGGAGGACGAGAAATTTTGCTGTTGTCCTTTGCTCCCTTCACTTGAACATAGTCGCCCTGCCAGTAGACAGTGTAAGGCACATTTTGGCTGAATCCGGGAACCCAAAATTCACCCTCAAAGATAAAAGAGAAATTTACTATCACTGAACTTGTGCCTCTCATAGTCTCGTTATATGAATGGCCCCAGACCCCTTGACTGCATCCAAATTCCAGGAACCGGTTTCGTACACAATTCGGGGATTTGTACCATCTACGGCAGCTCGACGAGGGTATGCGTATTCTGTCACTGGTGTGTCGGGGAAGAAAGCAAAAGCAGCGGAAAGGTACACAAAACGTGGTCTCTCGACCTAAAAATAAATGTGGAAGCATTGATAGGTACGGTGATAATATAGATCTCTAAATGCCGTCTGGCGAGCTCAGCGGGAGAGTGGGAGATACTGGCTCCTCGCCTACCCCATCGATAAGGCCATACTGGGGGGAATACCGTATCGTCTTTGCGGTTCGCTTGGGGATTTTCCTGTGGGCGTGGATGAGATATAGGCAACATGTTTTGATAGGCCATTGGGGAACGGTATGGTCATTGGTGCCCCACAGGACGAGTTACAACCTAAATTATGAGCTTTGACGCCACTGACTTTGCACATAGCGAAGATCAGTGCAATGGCCCGGGAATAATACCACCAAGTTGCACAATCAATACCGCTCGCCTTCAAGCGCAGTAAAGGCGGTCCTGTATCAGTTCCACGAAAGAACGCTCGGGCTATGTTGAGACTTCAGGAGAACCAAGACCTACTTTCCTCTTCTCTGGAGCGAAGAACTATCAATCATGGTCTCCCGTTTCTTCGCTAACATAATCCCGTGTTCAGCTACCGGCAAGCAACTTGTAATTAAAATATTTTTGAATTCCGTCTAGATTGCAGACGAGGGATGGGGCGAAAGCATTCAATCAGAAACACCGAGGCTCTGTCAACGTTAGAAATGGGCACATCAGATTGTATCACGCTTGTTGATCGACCCCAGCCGATGTAACGCAGGTTTGGGTAGACATCGTATTCCTCGTTCCTAAATCCGTTTTGTTCGAAGGAACTCTAGTCGAAGATGGTGACTCGAGGGGAATCGACGAGATAATGTATAGTCAGTGCGTACGAGATGTGGTCGACATTTCCCACTGAGCCTTTTGGATTTTGGATAGAAAAACATGCATACATGACCCCACTTTACCCGTGATCAACATGCAAGAATCTCAAGTCTGAGCGTTTTTTTTTCTTTTTTTGCGTGCGCGCGTTGGGTATACTCACGAAATCGACGTCGATGAGTATTGTTTTGAGTCATTTTCGGGAACGAGCGCTTGAGCCTTGAGTAAATGCCGTACTAAGCCGTGCCCGATAAGGTTCTAAGCCCCAATCTCCCTCAGACGTCGGTGACAGAAGATATTCCGTATGATGATAAAGCTCTTCCCTAACCTTGCCTCGATGCCAGTGGATAGGTAAGGTTTCTTATTAGCAATGGACTACGATCAACGAGCGGAGAACGCAATAGAGCTCTCACTCTGCCTCATCGATCAGCAAACACAGTCAGTCCCCTGGCTGGCCAGGCCCTTGCTGAGCCATCAATATTTCAATCTTCAAGATACGTCCTGTATTTCAATAATATTTCGGTTTTATTGAAACTCGAGCACACTTTTTGCTAAAGTTATTGTGGATAGCGGGTACATAGGAGTGATAGATCCAAGCGAAGGGTTTTTGTAACAGAACACGTTAAAACTGCCTTCGCATAGTGAGAATCTGAGCAGGGTCTACTCATGTGTATAGACAGGCGGTACCGTAACTGTAGCCCCGTGTGTCAAAGAGCTTCCCGCGACATGGCTATAACGAAGCCCACTGTCCCGCTCCTGAGCAGCCTGTTCATTCACCACCTCCCGCTGGGCATGTTTCATCCCTACAAAATTTGCCCGCATAGCGCTCGCGGACCCACTTCCATTGACTCCAGTTTCGAGCGTTTGTGAATCGCGTGAAGGTTCAATCGTTCAAACCTCGGTCATATTGCTGGACGGTGTTGTTGGAAAAATACCCTCGTTCAATCCACTCGGACTACCTCCTCTCAATCGACTTCTCCTCTTCGTCAAGAACCAAACCAGAGCAGCAATCAGGATGAGGCCAACTACGCCACCAACCACGCCTCCAACGATTACTCCGATCGGCTTCTTAGTAGCAGCAAGGCGAGGCTCTTCCGTTCCCTGAACCCCATCATTTCGTACAGGTAGATAGTCAACAATTAGCGGCTGCAGTTGATCCACAGACGCGGCTCCTGTCCCGGAATATGTAATGACCATGTCGTGCTCCTTGTCCCCATCGAGTGAGTCGGTAACAAAGAAACGCTGATTTCCCCACGCCGTGAAGTTGTTGTCTCCTGGAGTGAACGGAAGGCGTTTCGATGCCGGGATTTCAAAGGGGAAGGTACTGCCGGTGTCAACATAGTAGGAGCCTGTGGTGCCCTCAAAAGCACTATAATCGATCTGACTCGGGTTAACGCCATAAAGGGATACGGAGGTTCCTTCGGGCATCAATTGAATGTATAAGTGATCAAATCAACTCGCTGTACAAACGGGCCTACCGTTGAACTTGAATGACATAGTTGCCCCCGCCGTCTGGGTACCGTTGTAAAGAGCACCGAAATCTCCATCAACAGATCCCCAGCCACCCGGATTGTTGTGGTAGGTGCAACTGGAATCGCCCGAGTCCACCTTTAGTACTTGGTTTGTCATCTTTCTTTGATACGGACGATAAACGGATATCTCTTTCAAGTCTTCTTTGTCCACACAGTACGATGCTCCCGCTCTTGACAGGCACCGACACAACCTCCTCTCGAAGACGTATAAACCTCGGAGGGGCATCCTCCGCTTCCTCAATCGCCCAATTGACACTCGAGTCTACCAAAGCGCGACGAAACGAGCGGTTAGAACATTACAGACGTGTGGATGCGGCGGTGGAGATTCAAGCGTGGTGGAGGGGTGTTTTGGGGAGGAGAGGTGTGAGGGAGAGGTTATCGAAAGAGTTGGATTTGAGTGGTGGGAAGTGGGATGTGGGGTCTGTTAGGACTGTTTGTTTTGTGGGAAATGAAAATGGGAATTCGGATGTGGTTGGGAGGTGGAGTAGGGGGGTTGTCGAGAGTGGGAAGATGGATGTTAGTGTTATGAGTGAGTATTAGCCCTGGTTTCTCTATACAAGCACAGATTGACTAACAGCGAGGTGTTTAGGCTCCCACCCATACCTCCTCCAAAAACTCCCCTCGACGCTTCTCTCCCTCGTTTTGTCGGATGTAAACTCGGTCTACGCACCCATCTAACACTCCTCACTTATCTCGTCCCGTTTCTCAGTCGTGACTTTGATATTACCGCACACATATCCCACCATCTGAACAACGACCAAAGACTCGCCTTGCCTGCCCCAACTCATCACACTCCTCTTCTCCTCTCCCACCAGCGCCTATCTCATAGATCCCCTGAACGAATTCGGTAGCGCAAGGTAGTACTAGGAATGGTCGCACTCGACACCGAAGTTTTCGTTGGTTTACCTGAGGCGTGTATATGCATTTATATGGAGGGTCCACGAGAGGAAGATACGGCAAGATGAGCACACTCGATTCTCAGGTCCAATGTCGATTGTAGATACGAGGTGCTTGGAGCCTTCATCCATCCGGACCATCCCCTACCCACCTGGTACTGAATAGATCCCATCGAGGGAACGCCCCCAAGTTGCGACGAAGAGGCCACCCAAATGAGGAAACGTTCCAATACGACTCGCGAAAACCTCACGCGGCCGTACTCGATCCGGAAGCAGCCAAGATTCACGAATCCGATCTACGGCGCTGTTCTAGCGATGTGTAGACAATGAGGCATTTTCCACTGCGGGACCGTTACTACCGAAAATCGAAGGTATTCGAGTCTGCCCCTCATTCCTCCTCGCTGCTACGAAATCTCATCATTCATACTAAGACCCCTTTGGGCGCTAGGCTTTTGTTCTCATGTCCGCCGTTCAGAAAGAATCTTCGTGCCGGTTAAGCTGATCAGGGAGCTCTTCGTTCATCCACCATCGGTTTTATTTGCTCGAACGTTTGTATTCACGCGATAGGACCACTTTGTCTGTCGATGTCGCACGTAAGTTTTACCGTCTCTATCAGAGACGGGGGCAGAAGGTACTTAGACATTGACGTAGTACTTGCGACGATTTGGTGCTTCTCTTTCTGAACCATCGTCTTCCATTTCCACGATAGAATCGAATGATAACTCGTACTCACGACGCTGGTCAATTAGTATTCGTTACGCCTGCGACGTTGGAGAGAGAACCCTCCTGGCTCGTGAGGGGAGAAAACGTCCGAGAGCCGACGAGGGGAAAGGTCTTCGGAACCGCTGGTACAAAATTATTAGTAGGGGGCTGATTGTGTCCCGAATGATCATTGACGTGCCCGCTCAAGTAATAGGGGCGAAAACACTTTCCTGGAGAATGGGCTCGCGGCATCCTTGCTGCTTGAATATTCTGCACTAGCGATGGCATGTGCTGAAGCCTGAGCAGCGGAATCTGGCACTGACTCTCTATGCTACGTGTATGAGCCTCTTGGAGTCGAAGCTGCTGCGTAATCTACAGATACTCCTGACTTGAGAAGGCCAACGGTAGAACTTCTGGTCAGGACGATATCTGTCAGCGTTCAACATTCAACGTCGATATCCCCCCGAGTCGGACTGTAAGTTGATACAATGACGAGGAATGTATCAGTTTGGAGGGTCTCTCAAGTCTGAGTCTGACGTTTGATTCAACCGCAACCAATGTTTCTGCTCGGTGGTACTTACTTACTGCCGAGTCGACGTATCCCCGATCTATTTGTTTGGATTGTACTGCAGGCAGGGTGCAGGGCGGAGCACTCACCGGCGTTCTTAGAGTTGGGATCTAGATGTTCAGTGGCATTCAAGAGATTTGTACAATGCTTCGTTGAACTAGGTAAGGAACGTTGAACTTTGAAGGGGCAATCGTCAGAGGATTAGCCGGAACTAGCCCCTGATTTTCAATGAAGTAAGTCAGTGCCAGTGAGAAGGAGGGACATAGCTTCTCCGAGCCGCAAATATAGACGGGCTGGGGGCACGAGAAATCGTATATAAAGTGTGCTTCAATCTCTGTGAGTTCTTCAGATCACAACCGAGGTCTAATTCCATCTCTACCCACCCACCGAGCTCCATTACAATGAAATTCATCTTCGTTCTCACCCTCGCGCTCTCAACTGTCCTCGGCTCGCCTCTCCTTGGACTCGGCCTTGGACCTAACATTGGGCCCGATATTGGTGTCGGTGCTGGTGTCGGTGCTGGTGTCGGTGCTGGTGCTGGTTTTGGTCTCAGTACTGATCTCGGTCTCGGTGCTGATCTTGGTCTCGGTGTCGGAATTGGGGCTGATAATGGCCACCCGCCCCCAGATGACTGCGACGATTCCACCCCAACCGTCACAAACCACTACACGTCCCCAACATGGACAATCCCTACCCCTACCACTATCATCCCTTACACCACCCCAACCTGGACCGTGCCCACACACACCACAGAAGATTGCGACGAGACGACCACGACAACGGATCACTACCCCACTTGGACTCCCTCCACCACGACGTATTGGACTCCTCCTGCTACCACTAGTCCTTGTGAGGACGACCATTCGACGATAGCACTCGGTCCAGATGCCGGTCCTGGCGGTGGGGTTGGTGTTGGCACAGGAAAAGGTGTTGGCGTTGGGGCCGAAGTCAAGGCGGCTGATGTCGATGCCAAAGCGGGGGTAAATGTAGGAGCCGGTGCCGGTCCTAAGCTCGACGCGGGTGCTTCTTTTATCTGAGAGAGACTTTGGTAGGGATACAAAGTCCAATGTACCTGGGGACCTAGGGAGAGATACTTAGATGACAATCGGTACTGGGCGAAGGAGTAGTTACGTTTTAGCTTGCGGAGGACTTTTTTGTCTGCTGTTTTTCGTTTGTTTTTCGGCGACTGGACATTGTATGTACTTGTACAAGTGGTTGTCTTCGAAACTGTGTTGGTGTAAACAAATTGTAAATATTTATGACCATTGGCTTGTTAGTGGTACAAAAATCCCAGATTTAGTCCTCGCAGTTCCCTCTAGCCGACTTGAACGACTGACCTCTTCATGCAACGTTACTCACTGTGGTGAGATACTAGTGAAGCGCTCTACCACTGAGCTAAGAGGGAATCTACCACCTCGATATATGAATACAACATACTCTACTCGTTATGATCGATTCGGCGAACAGTCCGGGACAGCACCACAAATCGCTAACCACCACGTGAGCCCCACGCAATGGTTGATCAGCGCACACCTGTCATCTCCGGGTCCAATCTCGCCAAAAGAACTGGGGCTTCGATGGCCTACCGGGTCTTCGAAGTGTGAAACAGGCTCATCGTGAGTGAGGCTTTCTGACCGCCACGAGAAAGCGAGATATCTAGGGCGTAGCCGGGCAGGTAATTTATAGTAGCAACCAAACATGTAGCACGACTGAAATCATTCAAATATATTCACTTGTACCCTCCACCTTCATGATACTACTTATCTCCTCTCGAGCATTGTTCTCCGAGAAAGATCACCCTAATAGTCAGAGCACGACGCGTCGACACCAACTTGAACGCCATCGGGGATATTGTTAACGTCGTCGTAGTTGAACCTAAGATTCCCATGATCCACGGTGAGTATATCGATCACAATACAAGTGAAGTGGGTGGCCGTGACTTACCAGACAAAATGACCGTTCTCTTGCTGACCGTAGTTGATCCGAATACGGTTGCACTGAGCAGGTCGTCAGTGGATTATACTCCGGTAAGAAAAGCGTGAGAAACACTCACGGGCTGCTCGAGGGTACACTTATCAGCAGTACCTCCGGGAGGGCAGTTGAGCAAGCTCTGAGGGCTCCCGACAGGGGTACGACGCTGGACCTCGGGGGTAGAGGCGGCAAGCGCAGCAGTGGCGCATGCAGCGATGGTGATAAAGGCAGTCGTGAATTGCATTGCGAGAATAATAGGTTTGTCTGTTTGTGAGGTTGTGGTCGTGGTAGGGGACAGAAGATACTTGGGTGATGGGGATTTCTATCCAACCCATGGCCCGTTTATATATGTGCACGTTCGTGTATCATAATTCCTATCCGTCTTTGGATATCTCAAAGTTGACTTGAGTTTGGACGAGTTATGCTACGCTATCTGTTTACAGCCGTTGGGATCTAATTACTACCCCACAACATCTTTTTCAAGCTCCAAAAATCTCGGCAGCGCTGTATCCTGCCCTCCACAACAGGCAATAGCGACTAAGGATGTGTTGTACCTCTCCGATACCCACATTCTCCGAATTATCCTCAATGTTTTGAGCCACGTCAAAGTCCAAAGAAACGACCATTGCCAAGAATGCCGAAGCGTCTACGAATAACATCCACACCATTACCAGCTATCTTGATGTACAACGGGTCTCCACAGTCCCCAAGTCGTTGAAACTGCATCCGTCCAACCCTCGCGAGCCGTGTCGGGGTCATACCCAATCGAGCGTTCTGGGTAAACCTTCCTTCCCGCTATACTGTACCAACAGTCTTATGTCCCCCTCAACTACGTCGAGACCTCATATTTGCGAGACGCTCATGGAGAGTTACGTTCTCATCACTATTGAGACTGATCTTGCCGCGGCTTGTTCAGGGAATCTACACCGTAAGATATGTGGGACATAACGTTGGTGTGGACCCACTTATTACGATGACGCGTACGAATAAACAGATTCAACCCTGTTACACTTGGGCAGCGGTAGCTGTTTACAGCCGTTGAGATCTAATTATCACCCCACAATGCCTTTTCCGAACCCCACACAGTTTAGGACCACTGCCCTAACAGCGATCAATCACTGTTGCCGCTCCCCAGAGGCCCGAGGGGCTCTGAGAGTGGTTTTTATGCCGGTTTCCAGCCTGCCGATCGAGATATGCTGATTGCTGCGCAATAATTTGCATCCTTCGATTTGAGGTTTCTCTTGGCAGTGACACCATACCTACTTTGGCTATGAGCTGAGGACTCTACAGGTTACGAAGGGTTATCGTCACTTCAAATCGAGCATTGGACAACTCTGTTCAAAGACACTTTTTGGGGTATGTTCCTCATCTGAAGCGCCCGTAATGGGGTCTCCACGGGTCATCCCAGTATGTATTCCCGATAAAGGTCCGAACCACCCGCTGAACTAAAGCCCAATCCTCCAATAATGCAATTCACAACCCTAATTATCAATGTTGTCTGCGCGATCATTGCTTCAGTAGCCAGCTCCCAGGGTAGATGTGTTGCTCTGCCACACGTGTACCGTTTGGAAGGTGAGCTTAATGGCCTACACAACCATCATTCAATAGTTCTTGGGCTTCCTGTTCCGTGTATGTTTAGTTTCGATACTTGGTTGTGCTGGTACCATATGACCGTTGAAGACCACGGAAGTCTTCGCGGAGCCACCTCGCAATCGCGTCAAGTTAACAAGAGGGTGGATCTTCGACACCCTGCAACACATCGTTGAAACTCTTGGCAGTCAAGTTGACTACCCGCTGGACTGCTGTTCATCATAAGGACGCTGATAATGCCCTACGCCACTCATCTGTCATGTACTTCCCTCAAATGACTCAAGTACTCAATCTCACGCTCCCGTCTCAACTACGGCGAGACTTAGCTGTAGCAGTGTCCAGGACCCGACATCAGAGGCTACTGAAATAATACCCCATAAAAGGGCTTCTACTAATATTTCTCAAGTATTGTCATAACTGACTTGATGGATTCTCGCATCATTTTTGAACAATGGATTCTGTAAAGCTACCGTTACACTCCTTGAACCACACATACAAACAGACCCATTCGTTAGCGTATGCCTGTAGGCATAAGGGAGCTTCTCGAAAACTACCTATCGAGAATTACGGATGCCGAGAGAGATCCCTAATGTTTATGGACCAGGCTCACTCCAGATGTAGAGCTCTGTCTGATTCTAAAAAGTTGCTGAATACGACAAGCGCTTTACCGGCTGACTTCTTTACGGCTCCCTGACGAGAGGTATTCAAGATGTGCGAGAAAAAACTTATACACAGATGGCAGCGTTACCGGCATCTAATCCACTCATCACTATTTGTGGATAGCGAACTGCCCAAGTGTAACAGGGTTGAATCTGTTTATTCGTACGTGTCATCGTAATAAGTGGGTCCACACCAACGTTATGTCCCACATATCTTACGGTGTAGATTCCCTGAACAAGCCGCGGCAAGATCAGTCTCAATAGTGACGAGAACGTAACTCTCCATGAGCGTCTCGCAAATATGAGGTCTCGACGTAGTTGAGGGGGACATAAGACTGTTGGTACAGTATAGCGGGAAGGAAGGTTTACCCAGAACGCTCGATTGGGTATGACCCCGACACGGCTCGCGAGGGTTGGACGGATGCAGTTTCAACGACTTGGGGACTGTGGAGACCCGTTGTACATCAAGATAGCTGGTAACGGTGTGGATGTTATTCGTAGACGCTTCGGCATTCTTGGCAATGGTCGTTTCTTTGGACTTTGACGTGGCTCAAAACATTGAGGATAATTCGGAGAATGTGGGTATCGGAGAGGTACAACACATCCTTAGTCGCTAT